CAGTGATACCTCCGAGTTTTCTTCTGATGTGTCTCTTGCCTTTTCTCAATTTACCTTTCTTAATAATGTCACACTGGGAGCAAAACAGACCTTGAATTTTTAGGCCTTAATCTATAAAACACCTGGAGGTCCTACAGTTGGTCTGTTTAATTTGTCAACAGAAAAAATAATTCCAAAACATAAAAACGGATTTTATTTCAAGCCAACCTGAACAACATCTATAGAACACAGACTCAAGTTATCAACATGGCCCAGGTGATCGGTAGGGAGCTGCAAAGGGGTGGGGAAAAACATCCACAAGATGCTGTTTTCAATAAGGCAGGGAAGTTTCCTCAGGATTCAGGTGCCATCTCACCCCCAGGGTTGAGATTTAATAGAGGCCAGAGGCTGGTCCAGTTTAGCCTTCATTCATTCATCCAGGGTCACACAAATGCGGGTCAACACAGAGGCTGATGACTCTTGACTATCAAAGCAGTCCCAAACCACCCAATACTACTCCGACTTTCCAGCCTACACCACTGTGTCTTTCCAAAGTCTACAATCAGTGAAATTCAAACAACCTGGTAGATCTCAAGTACAAATGTGGTCTCTCTGGAGAAACTAGTTCACAAATTAAAGGTGTTTATTATTTGAAAAATCCAGGTTTAAATTATTCAGATCTCCAAGACATCCAGCATTCCAACATATTGCTTACTGTCCACATTCAAAGGCTCCTCTTGCCACAATCAAAGGCAGGAGGTGCCCTTTCCTCTTCTGCCTGGTGCCCACAATGTTCAAGTTTCCACGGTGCAGTTTTGAGGCCCTCCCATTTTCTGTCCCACAAGACAGGTGTGGCCAAGAGCCAGCCCAGAGAAGCACACAAAGCAAGACTGAGCCAGAGGAGGGAAGGGAGTAGGGTGTTGGGGTGTGTGTGTCGGGGTGGTGGGGGAGCTGGTGACGGAGATAAGTTTCTCCCCGTGTGTGTGTGTGTGTGTGTGTGTGTGTGTGTGTGTGTGTGTACAGGAAGGGGCGTGAACGCGCGGGCACAGCGGCATGGAAGTGGGAGAACTTTTTTCCCCTCCTGTAAAGTCAAATTCCCTGAACTTCCCAAGGCCCTAGGCGAGTCTCTCGGGCAGGGGGCCCCTCTCCGGTTCTGCTTGCAGACTTTCCTGGGGTCACTAGGCTGCCAGGGAAAACCGCTCCAAGTCACCAGAACACCTGTATATATTCCGTAATGGGGGGAGGGCATGTTCCCAGGGCCTTCTTGCAAAAGGCGAGTCCCCTTCTGCAGCCACCAGTGAAGGGAGCGCCGCGACCGTGCCAGGCAGCTCGGGTTTCACCCGACACTCTCCTCCCCCCAGACACTGAGCCCCTACACTTACCTGCTAACTGCGCCCCTCGGCTCGGCGCGCGTGTCCCTGCCCACGACCTCCGCGGCTGGCCCTGGGGGACCGCGAGGAACACGAGGCAGGCGCGCTCCAGGTGCGCTCCTGCCCCGGACGCCGACTTCCCGGCAAGGCCGCGCTCAGGTGGGCGCAGACAAAGCCGAACAAAGCCCGCAACGCCCGCGCGGGCCGGCGCAGCCTCCGCGCTCCTGGTCCGGGCAGCTGGGTCGCACCGGGACCCCCTCGCAGGGACGCCAACCGTCGGCCGCCGCCCTGCCAGGCTGCTAGCGGGGCTCTCGGGCAGCGGCAGCGCGGAGCCAACTCGGGCGGTGACTCACCGGGCGGAGCGCAGCAAGGAGCGCACGCCGCCCAGGCCCCTCTGCTGACAGGCACGGGCTTGGCTCGGGCCAGGGGGCGCTGCGGACCCACGGAGGGACGCCCTGGGGGGTGGCAGCCACGTGGGACACCTGTTGGTCTCTCCCTGGAGAGGCGGGGAGGGCTGCGCAGCGGGACCCAGCTAAGTTGGCGGCGCTCCCTTAAGTAAGGGTGGTGCGTCGGGAGCTTCTGGGATCCGCGCTGGCCTCTCCCCTCGCGTTTTTTAACGAGGTGTTGACCCAGGTGGGCAAATGAGCAAAGTGCGTGCTTCTGTGCGGGCCTCCAGCCTCTGAGCGCAGCGGCATCGTTTCTGTAAGGCAATTGCCTCTTGTTAACTTGCCTGCCCCATTATTGCAGTTGGGTGATAATTAGTCCACCTTTCGGCCAGCATCCTTGTTTAAGTCTAAAGGGTGCCTGATTTTAAAAAAATTAACCACCATTGGACAAAACAGCACAATGCCTGGCAGATGCTTTGTATAAAGTAAGCTTTAATGAATGTTGGCTATTATTGTATAATCTATAATTTTAATACTTCATCAAAAAAGTGTCCTTGCATAATGCATACTCGTTGCAAAAAAAAAAAATCAGTAAGCAAAGCAAATTTATAAAACCACCGAGAATTATACTGCAGACTGAGATCATGTTAACATTATAGTGCTCTTCTAATGTTATTCTACCTATATAAAATCTGCTTATTTTATTCATTCCTTACTGTACCATACTACACATTATATTACCCACTTCCTTTTTTGAAAATCTTTTTAGCCACTACATGTTCTAAATGTACTATAACAGGTTTTTTAAGACAGAGAGAGACAGGGTCTTGCTAAATTACTCAGGCTGGCCTTGAACTTGAGATCCTGCCTCAGCCTCCTGAATGGTTGGGATTATTGGTGTATGCCACCTTGCTCAGCCCATCTACTATTGTTGAACTCTCAACTTTCAATTTTAATCATGTAATTAGATATCTTTGTGCTTTAGCCCACTTGTTTCCTTGGAATAAACTGCAAAAAAGTAAACTTCTAGGCTACAGGGTATATACAATTTGGGAAATTATATGCATCTTGTCAAATTGCCTTCTAGGAAGTTGACTTGCTTCCACTTTTCCAAGGCCTCCCCCATTATTCCTGTGTCAATCAGGCGAATCGCAATTTTATTATTTTTACACATTTCCTTTTTAAAAATTAGAAAAGCATTGCATTTCAGTCTACAGTTCTCAGTTGGTTTTCAACCCCCCAGACATTGACAGGCCTCAGTGAAACTGGCTCCTGATAAACCTTACCAAGGAGGAGGAAAAATGACATTTTCACATAATTCACTCTTCCCGATAACATCTACTGAGCATTGGTGGTGGTGGTGGGGGGCAACAATACCAAAAAACAAAAAGAAACAGGGTCACTTCAGACAGCATACACAATATGCCAGTATGTCACTCTGTAAGAGAACATGGGTCTAAACACCAGGGAAGAATGGTCTCTGCCTCTAAAAATCTGTGTTGTTTACAAGAAATGCAATGCAAGACACATGTGGAATTTTGAATACTTTAGTGGCCATATTAAAAAGTGAAACAGGTGAAATACATTTTGGTAAGATAAATTCATAGATGAAAAACACTATACAAACATGTAATAGAGATTTTTTATACTATCTTTAAAATTCTATTGTATATATTTCCACATATAGCACGTCTCAGTTTGGACTAGCCACATTGAGTGCTCAACAGCCCCATGTGGTGAGTGACCTCTCACACCTCCAGATAGGTGTGAGAGGGGCAGAATGGGGTCCTAATAAAAAGTGGACAGTCCACCACTGACAACCCCTCTCCCCCATCCATGCTGGTTAACATTTCTCTAAACTTTTGCCTAATGAGTTTAGAGAATCTGTATTTCCATCCTGGGCATTCCTAACATTTTTGATCTGCCTTAAATTGGGGGCATTTCACATCTGCATTCCCTGATGAAGAGCTAGAAGTATAAATACGGGTGGAGATAACAGTTGCTGTGAATTTCTCATCAAAGCATCAGCTGAGCCTCGTCTGCCCCCATGCCTTTCAGATTTCATGTGGGAAGAGAAAAAGCAGGTGGCCCAAGCTCTGCAAGTAGGGAGTGGGCCACTTGCAGGGGTGAGGGCTTTTTATACAGAGACGCTGTGTGGCTACTTTCATCATCCACAGCAATCCTTCCTTTGTAAAGACTTATGGAAATTTTAAAATTAAGTCATGAAGGGCCACCATCCTGGAGGGTGGAGTCATGAGCTCCTTGCTTCTGAGAACTTTTGCCTTATTCACTTCCTCAAACCCAGTGCCTGGTAATTTATATGTAAATGTCCTTTCAAAATGTGAATTATGTCAATGCCCTCTTCCCTTGTTCACGATGTTTCAAGGCACAGAGATGATTTTAAGATCTATGAAAAGATAAATGAGGACTTCAGCACTTGGTTTCAGGCATCAGCAGGCGCCCAGTGTAATAGAATGACCACAGCTTTGGAGATGAAGTGGTCTGGGGTTCCCCAACCAGTTCCCCTGTTGGACCTGTAACACAGAAAAAAAAAAACGCTTTTGATTTCTCAGTTTCCTGACCTATAAAGTACAATGGATATGGTGATTCTGAACCCTGTGGAACCCCAACCAGATTCCTTGCATCCAGTCCCCAAAATGAGGAAAGTACACATAAACACAACAGTTGCAAAGGATGCTGTACACACCTGCAAAGTTCCGCACTCCCCGGAACCAGAGCAGCCACTAATCGGAGCCTTGTTGAGAAGTCAAAGAACAGGAAACAATGCCCAATAAATGGCAAAGCGGCCATCCTGGAGGAAACAAAAGGCCTGATCCCCAAGGACTCTGCAGGCAGCAGACTAAACTACACCACCAGCTGTGGAGCTAAGAACTAAATTGTGGTGGAGACAGGAGGAGAGATGATGCCATCTCAGAGCTAAGACCCCTGGGCTTGGAAGACACAGATTGTTCTAAAAGTGATAACGCACTTCCCAGTTCCTCCATAAAACAGGAGAATTATGCATAAAGTGATGCTGGATTTGCTTTTGAGGAATGTGATGCTTTTTTTTTTCATTTTCTTTATTGTGGTTGAATCCAACTTAATTTATAATACAAAATGCTTTGCAAACATCAGAGATATATAATAACATTTAAAACTATTTTTTTTGTAAAGGAAATAATTTTAAAACACTATTAAACGCTTTGTCTCTAAGAGATACATAAATAAGCAGACCAACTTTAAGGCTGTCTGTGCAGACATTTTTAGCCTACTAAGGGGCAACCTGTAGCACAGGACTGATGTAATGCCGCAGCAGAAATGGTAAATTACAAAGTGGTAACTCACACACACAGTAGTCACAATCCCCATCCTAAACACCATCCAGACACAGCAATTTACATTAAGAAAATAGGCTTCTTTTCCCCACTAGGATGCTTCATGACCTGTCTTTCCAAACTAAAGAAATGCCTTCCCATCCAGCACTAGTACTTTTAAAACCATTAGAACTTTGGTTATACAAATAAAGTTTAATAAATACTCCTTCCAGAAACAATTTTTAAGAGATAATATATTTTATTTGTTAACTTTTAAAATTTGCTCCGATTAATAATACATGAAAGAATGCATTTTGACACATCATATATAAATGGAGTATAACTTCTCATTCTTCTGGTTGTATGTGATGTAGAGTTACACGGATCATGTAATTATGTATGTGTATAGGGTAATAATGTCCAATTCATTCTATTATTGTTCCTATCTTCCACATCTCCTCCCCTCCCCTTCATTCAACTTTATTCTTCCCTAGCCATCCCCCATTGTGAATTAGCATCCATATATCAGAGAAAATATTCAGCTATTGGTTCTTTGGGATTGGCTTGTTACTTAGAATGATATTCTCTAGTACCATCCATTTACTAGAAGATGGCATAATTTCATTCTTCTTTAAGGCCGAGTAATATTCCATTGTGTATATATACCACAGTTTCTTTATCCATTCATATGTTGAAGGACACCTAAGTTGATTCCATAGTTTTGCTATGGTGAATTGAGCTGCTATAAACATTGATGTGGCTGCATCAAGTCCTTTGGGCATAAATCTAGGAGTGGCATTCTATTCCAGGTTTTCTGAGGAAACTCCATACTGCTTTCCATAGTGGTTGCACCAATTTGTAGTCCCTAATGTGATTCTTTCTGAATCAAGCAAACACGAAGTTTCTATAAAGGCAAAGTCTTGGGTAACAGTCACTCAACCAACATTCCAAAATGCTATGTGCTCTATATCATACTGTCAATTCACTTCTGCTGTTACCATTTCTTTTCCAAATCTGTTTAGTTTCCACACATGTATGCTTTAAGTACTCACTGAACTAATTCTGGAAGGGATCTGTGCAGGTGGGCAGTGATCTATCTCAGTGCCAATCCAACACCACTTTAATCCCAGCAGGCAAAATCATTCCCCCACTCCCTCCATCTACAAGTTTACAACTACAGACTGCCTTCCAGTTCCTTTATCTAGAAAAACAAAAACCACCTTCAAGAACCTTCCTTATGTGTTTGGTGAGAACTGCTTGGTGTAGTATGGGCTACAGAACCACATAGACTGCTGAGGAGCCTGGATGTCCTCTTTGGCTACTCCCAGAACTCCACGTGCCACTCGGCCACCCCACTAATATCAGCTGGCCCTCTAATAAAGATTTAAACTCTGGGAATCTGGCAGCATAGGGTCCTGCTGGTAAGGAATCTCATGTGTTGGTTTCTAGAACATTTATTTTATTGGAAGAGTTCAATTTCAAAATGTTAATTATCCTTATTCACAGTTGAGCTTTTTTTATTTCTAGCTACTGCAGCAAAACAATTCTAGCAAAACATAAGATATACGGGAATAGGGCCTTTCCCCGTTACTCCCTGGGAGTTCAGTTTAATCTATATGACAAAAAGCTCTTCCTGAGCAAGCTAGATATGATTTATGTCAATATTTATAAGGCCTCCACCCAGGAATAACCTTTATTTGGACACATGGTCTCAGTTCTATTATACTCATGACAAAACCAGATAGTCTTCAGGGAACCAAAGACCAGAATCGGTGCATATGGTTAGCAGGGCCCTAAATGAGGCCTATGAAACAACGAATCCAGCACCTCCCACAATGTCAGGTACATAAATGGATCTCAGGATTTGTTGAATGAAACTTATAGCTGGCATATTAAAATAAGAAACACCTACTAAGTATCTCAAATGAATCCAGAGTCAGACGTTCAGTCCCCACCTCTATAAAGCTACTGCTACAGGTGATATTTGTCTTTTTTGGAAAAAGGTATATGGCTCAACCACCAAATAATATAAAATGCCCTTTAAGCTGGGTTGATGGCATATGCCTGTCATCCCCGCAATTCAGGAGACAAGGCAGGAGAATGGCAAGTTCAAGGCAAGCCTCAGAACTCTAGTGAGACCCTATCTCAAAAAAACAAAAAAGTGGGGCTGGGTTGTGGCTCAGTGGTAGAGCGCTCACCTAGCATGTGCGAGGCCCTGGGTTCGATCCTCAGCACCATATGAAAATAAATGTATTATGTCCATCTACAACTAAAAAATAAATATATATCTTTTAAAAAGGGCTAGGGATGTGGCTCAGTGATAAAGTACCACTAGGTTTAATTCCAGTACCAAAACAAAAATAAAACAAAGTAAAAAATTCCCTTTAAATAAAATAACTTCTATTCAAATGTCTAGTCCATATCATACAACATTGGGATCCGAAGAACTTTGACTCACATTTTTCTATGTTCTTCCAGTAGCTCCCCTAGTTTTCTATAATTAAACAGCCAATTTGGGGACTGCACAGGGCCAGGTGCCTTTCCACCCTGGTTGGAGTGAGTGCACAGGGTGAGCAAGCCGAGGGTTCAGTGCTCTGGGGTGCGCAAAAGAAAGGGAAGTGAGCAGATGCCAGCAACAGGAAAGAGGAGGCTGGTTGACAAGCGGAGGACTTTATTGGGCAAAGCAGCACAAACTTTTATCAAAATAGAAGCACATCAACATCCGAACAACTTTTTATGTGAGGAAATTCCATTTAAATATAACAGAACAACTGACACACATTATCAGTAAATGCAAAAACAACAAAAACCAGACCTTTGTATTGGTGACAACACACAAAGTTGTCATAGTCTGGTACTTACATCATGGGGAAATTCCCAAGTCAGCTTGCCCATAATTATGCAATGTAAATTTAGGAGAATTTAACATTATGTGCTTCAAGAAAAATATACACTCTCAGTTTTTAAACTTGAATTGATAACTATATTTGTGCTTCAGAAAACAGTAAATTCTTTCTATAGTAAAAATCTAACTGGGTACAGATTTGGAAGAATACAGGAGGAGGAAAAGAAAAAGTCCCTTCCCAGTGGAGTGGTCCACAGCTCTGGGACAGACTCCATGCCTAAAGGCTAAAAGAAAAGCAATCTGATGGAAAATGGTTAGAAGAAGCTGGAGCCCTCACAGGATGGACAGGAAAAGAGCAGACGCTAAAGGTGCAAGGAACCAAAGAACATTTATTATGTGGAAGAGGCAGATGATGACAGGGAGCACAGGGAATATTAGGAAACATCTCAAACACAGAAAATGACAAAGCTCCTATATCTACCCATTAGATTTATCCAAATTAACACAGAACTATATTTTTTCCTTTAGTTCTTCTAAGTAATAAAAAGTTACAGGGTTGGAGATATGGCTCAGTGGTAGAGCACTTGCCTAGCATGCGTGAGGCCCTGGGTTCAATCCCAAGCACGTAAAATGAAAAAAAAAAAAAGTTATATATACACAGTGGAAAGCCCTACATATCCTTTCCAGGCATCCCCATGAATTTGCTATGACTCTTCTTTCCAAGACTTATTTGGTGGGAAGAAAGGGTGGGGGGGCTAGCAACCTAAGAGAACAATGGTAAGCAAGCAAAAATGGAGGCAAAAAAGGTCATTAAAGAAAAAGAAAAGGTTCCATTAAAACACACACAAGATGCAAAGCTTTTTCTCAAGTCTAGTTTTCATTGTTTCCTTTCTCATGTTTATTTCCAAAAGACAGTGTTCCTGAAAGAGAAAAAATCAACCATAGTTATACTTTATATAAAAGCTCAATCACTATGGTTCTTAATTTCTATTTTAAGCACAAGCAAACCAAACATTCACCTTCAACTGAAACTGCACATTTAAATCAAATCTGTCAGTTAAAAAAGCTCACCACCAGTGTGTAGAGCTGTTCATACTACCCTTCACAAATAAAAACAGCTGCTAGCACTCTCCTTCAAACATAAAAAGTATTTGATATTAACTTGTATGTTAAAGAATTTATCACTTTTGAGCAATATATTTCAAAATGTTGTGTTCTGATCACCCACCACAGCACCCCTATTTTGACAATTTACAATTATCAACTAATAAATTCCTCCAAAGATGATATAATACTTACCTTTTTAAAATATTCTCTTCCCCTAGGAAGACTAATATAAGAGTAAATATTCAACTGCGTTTGCTTAAGCAACCGTGTATGCAATTTTTTCTAGTATAACCCCCTAATTTTATTCCTATAGAAGTGATCTAATCTATAAAGATGCTGTAGCACAACATGCAGACTGCAGTCAAGGGCAGTAGAGAGAACTCAGCTTTTAGGCATAAATGCTAGTCTTTAGGCTGTGTACATGATCTTGTGCATCTGGGAACCCCAGCTTCCTCATCCTTAAAATAAGGACTACTTTTATTTGAAGGGTACTGTGGAGATCAAGCATGTGACTTTGTGTCACAAAAAAAGCAGCCAATACTAAAGCTTAATGTATTAGAAAGAATTGAAAGTTATAATTGCAACTGTTAAGTCATCACTTACTAGAAACAACCCAAAATTTGCAAAGGAAATAAATTTTGAGAATCAAAACCGTTGTTCCTGCATTAATGACACTGAGCTTACAATGCAGCAGTAACTTTCTTAAAAACATACATAGTAAGTACATTAGCACATGGGAAATGTTTGAACACTGTTGGTTCCTACCTGAGAGCAACCACACCCACAAGACAATCACAAAGAGCAGCCTCTTGGGCGATCTCCAAATGGCCCAACAAAAATCACACTTGGACTAATCAAAGCCTAGGCACGAAGTGAGCAAAGCTCCTTTGCTTTTATTACATCAACCCAATTATATCAATTACAAGGAGGACAATTCCATTTTGATCATAAGTTTTAATTACCATTTATCATAGAGTAATTTCTGAGAGCAATCTTAGGACAAAGGGTCCCAGACAGTCAAAAAGTGGGGGAACTACCAGTTTAGAGTCAGCAATGTTTTCTTTAAACACTGGAGTCACCTACAGCCCCAAGAGGAGGCAATGTTTCATTTTAAAATGGAATCTGTTTCTGTGCATCAGCATTCCGTTCCACACCCTTCAGGTCCTCTTCACAAAAGGTGCCAATCTTAATGGTAGTGGTGTGCACTGTGAGGATCTGAGATGATTCAATTTGGGCCATGAGGATTTTGAGGCTAAACCTCACCTCATGACAATCCTCCCACATATCAGTAACAGGGAAAGGGCAGGAGAACCCACAATTCTGGGCTCAGACCCACGAGGAGCATCAGAGGGAAAACATCAGATCAGACCTCGGGATACAGCAAGAGCATCCCAGCCAAACTCAGATCATCGCATCTAAAATAAGGCATGGGGCTGGGGTTGTGGCTCTGTGGTAGAGCCCTTGCCTTACATGTGTGAGGCACTGGATTCAATCCTCAGCACCACATAAAAATAAATGAATAAACAAAGGTCCACTGATAACTAAAAAAAATTTTTTTTTTTAAAAGTCAAGCACAGCTGTCCCAAGAGTCACTCCATCAGCCCCCCTACCCCAACCCCCGCCCCCAACAGCACAGCCGCTGACTGGCAATAACAGGAGTGGCAAAAACATCAAACTTCACTTACTTAACTTTTTAGCAGTTTTTTCATTTCAATAAATTTATTTTGATTAGTTGGATTGTTTAAAAGGAAGAGAAGAATCTGCTCATGTTTTTCAACCTATGGATGAGAAAGAAAACAGTAGTTTCATTTCTAAAACTGTTAAGAACAAACATTTACTTAAAGGAAATTTTACCCACTTGTTTCTGCAACTGTGTACAGCAGCAATTCATCCTGTGCATCTTTTCTAAAAGAAAAAAAGAAAGCCTTTAGATAATATCCAACATGAATAACAAGAAAAACCTAGATCTCAACAGATATCTATCTGCCCCTATGGCTGGGTTCCAAATACAGAGAACACAATCCACCCATCTGGGCTTCAATGTTTTATCTGCTTCTTGTGACCAGGTGTTTTTCTGTTTGTTTGTTAAATACAAATTAACACCCACACTGCAAGGGTCAGATCCTATCACCACCTATAGGGGACCTCTGGTGGGCAAGGACAGGTCTGTCAAACACTGTAGAAATACCAGGATAAGCCAATCCCAAACTTGAGATCTCATTTTGAGTAGGATCAAAAGTGAACCTGAAGGAAGGCCTGGGCAGAAGGTGAGACACTTCAAAGCTTAACTCCCAGAACAATGCTGCTGAGCTGCCCTATGGACTCCCTGGAACAGGACTGCTCCCACCAAGGTGGCCCGAGGTGGCAACGGAGCCCTTCCAAGGGATTTATGGAGGAGGTGGTGGTAGCAACTGTGGCCACACAGAATGAGGAAGATCAGGTCAACTAAAGTGACCATCTCTGCTCCTGGTTACACTTACATCTGGTATTAATCACACCTGAAGAAATACCTTTATTTAAAGCACTTTGCTTTTTAGATGTGATGTTTTTTGCCAGCCCATACATCACCAGCTTATCAGCCACATTGACAGTACCATTCTCAGAACACTTCTCCACCGACACTGTATGAACATTCTTAATAATTCCTTTCACGGAAAGCATTACATTCTGATTCAACATGAAATTTTTTAGTAGCTCTATCATTAATTGAGAACAGCTTCCATTCAACTCCATCAGTCCTGGAAAAAAATTGAAGATTAATATATATATATATATATA